TGCCTCGGTGAGGCGTCTGCTTGCCCGGGAGGAAAGGGTTAATGGGCAGCGCGCACTCTGGATCTGGTTAGTACTTTAAAGGGACTTAAAAAATGTTGGGCTGTGTGATCTCCCCAGCTAACTTTTATGTGGGCGAGTGTGTCATATGTGTGAAAAGTCATAGCAGCTCTCGGCTCTCTCTCCCCTCAGTACTTGGGGAGCCCAATAGTTGCAGGGGGGATCAGCTCTCTGAAGGCAGGCGGTTCTCTCTTAGCGTATTGGTACAATTTTTTTTGTCTGAAAAATTTGCTATTGAAAAGAAAAAAAAAAACAAACAACAAAAACCTAAACACTACTCCCACCAAAGGACGAAAAAACAAACAAAAAACCCCCAAACAAACAAAAGCACAAAAAACGAGTGGAGATGTGTTGCAGCCACTAGCATGCTTTAGTTCTCCATGTGGATGATTCCCAGCTGAATACAGCTGTGCGCAAGCACCTGGCTATTGCTGAAAAGAAGTTGATCAGAATTCAGGAGTATTAGTTAATAAGTGCCTGATCCTGTTGACCCTGTTCTGGTTCACCCACTCAGCTATGCGGGGGTGTTGGAAGAAGGTGTCCTGCCAGTTAAACCAATTATAGCTGGCAAGTCGCAGTCATCAGCATTAGTGGAGGAGTTGGAAGTGAGGCCCAGTCACACCGTGCCCCGCTGTAAGTGTCTTTTCTGAACTTAAACAGCAGCTCTCCACGTCCAGCAGAAAGCCAGCTTTAACCCTTTGTGTCATGGAAAGCCGTGTTGCCTGTTCAGTTCTGCTGGTCTTGTGATGCCTCTGTAAGGGTTTTGGATCTGAGGGCTGGAAACTAGGACTGTTGATGGGAAGAAAGCTGATGTATGATGAGCAGAGGCTATAGAAATTAATAATAGTGTGAGAAATTTGGTTGGAAGAAGAAAACTTGAATGGTACAAAACACGCTGAAGCTTTTCATGTGTGGTTAGACTGGAGCTCTGATGTCTGGTTTTTCATAAGCTGTGTAGTGCACAGGCAAGGCCACAGAACAAACAAGCAGCCTAGAGTAGAAGCAGTGACTTGGGTTAATGAGCAACGCCATGTAATGAAGACTTCATATAAACCTTTTGTCTTAGGACCCTAAAGGTTTCTAAAGAAAGAAATAAATAAATAATAAAAATAAAAAAACAGGAAGAAGAGAATCCCAGTCCGTTTAGTCAATGGGAAAGTTCCTACCAGGATTCGTGTAGAGGCTGGGATTGCCCCTGAAAGTGTCAGAAATCTTATTTGTAGTCCTAACTAGGGATCAGATCTAAGCATGCTGAAAATACATATAACGCTTTTCACAAATACTTTCCAATTGTTAAGGCTTACAGCTAGTTATCCCTAGATACCAGAGCAGATTTCAAAGGCAAAACAAAGGGCGTTAGAAGTTGTCGTGTACTTTTTAAAGGCCGAACCAAATACAAGCATAAACAGTTGCTTAAACTGTGGCAAATTTAATCTAAACATTAGTATGCTTGCAGAGTGAGACTCATGCTGTGTGAAATTCTTTGCTGCTCAATGAGATGTGCAATTTTGATCAAATATTTGTACATGCTATTTGAGGTAAAAAAAACATTCAGTAGATTGCACTTTTGGGTAACATTAATGAAGTGTAAGTTGTCTATTCTCTTCATATTCAGCTGATCTATTTTATTTCAATTAGAAACCCTATGCATATAACAACAATGAAGTTGAAATGGGCCTTTCAGTTTAAGGACTCTTGTAAGTGATAGACTATGTAAGAGGATGAAAGAGTTCCTTGTGTTCGCTGTTGGATGATTTTATTTTTCTCTTTACTTGTATGGATGGCTTTTGAATGTGTTGCAGTTCTAACAGGTTGAATTTATTTTGTTAAGCTCCTAATTTGCCATCTTTTTAAGAGTTTAAGATTGTATTTTGTTTTCTCCTTGTGTTAACACGGCTAACGAGAACTTGCTTGCAATAAGTGGCCACAGTTTCCTGGAAATATTAATAGTGTCCTGTGTGACTGTTGATACACAAATGCAGATTTTCAGACAGTTTCTATGGAGCAAGATAATTTAGCCTAATGCTGATAAAAAGGAGAAGGAAAATTGTTGAGAGACAGCTTGCTTCAGTGTAGTCTGATAAGGTATCGTTCACCGACACCTCAATTACAGCATCATAGTAAGCCTGAACAATGGCCATAAAACTGGCTTTATTCCTTATGTTTGATCTCTCTCATAGGTCAGTAAAAGGATATGAATCTTATCACTCTTTTCAAGTTGTACAGGCCTGGTAATACAGGCAACATGATATAGCTTTGACTTCAGTAGCATGAATTTATGGTGGTCCCATTATCAGTTCTTTTAAAAGGGTGTTTTACTGTATAAACCCATTTCAATGTAAACATAGACCCTCTAAAGCTTTATAAATATGCTAATGCCATGTTTACAAAATGCACAGGATAGCATGGTTTGGAGATGCTTTGCCTAGAAAAGGAAGCAGGTTGCTAATACTGGGTATTGGCTTCAGTCATTATTCACAGAAGGGTGAAAGGGGTGAATGTTAGTACGTGAAGGTGTACTATGGTCGGCCCTCTGTCCCTTCTCTTCCTTCCTTTGAAAGCCAAAGTCCAAAGTTAATCATGGCATGTGAGCAGGAATATAGTAAGGAAAAACAACACCTGATTGAATGTTTAAGATAATGGAAAGTTGGAAAATATCTCAAAGCGACAGATACTTGGTAGACAAAGGACTTCTGTAGGTTTTTCGTGAGGATCTAAAAGCCCTCATGTTGGTTATCGGGAGCTAATCATCCTCCTTTGATCATACCCTAAAACTTTAACTCCAGTGTTGCCTGTGAAATGTTTTCCAGTTAAAAAAAACTGCTTAAGCAAGATGGGGATTGTGCCCTGTGCAGTTGGGATGTGAGCAATGAGAAGGAAAGCTTTCCCTGTATTTCTCTTAGAGAGCTGTTCTGTAGTCTGTACTGAAGCAGTGAGATACATCTGTTAACATGCTTGCTTCCTCGGTAGCAACATTTTTTCATGTGACCCCTCTCATTTTTCAGATGAGTGATTTTGGGATCAGGAACATGGATCAAGTAGCTCCTGTCTCTACCATGTACAGAGGAATGCTCAAGGTGAGTACTCTTGAGCTGTAACCTTCTAAACCCAACTGGGGCACCTCCCAGCTAATGCATTTATTTTGTTCTTATTAGTGCTAGCACAGGGATTGTATAACCATGCCAAGGTGAACAGATATTCATGTTTTAATTGCTTGTTTGTAACCTCTACTCTTCTAAAGTATTCCTACTGAGTTCAGTAAAGATATGAAAAGGGGAACTGAAATAGGAAGATGTAAATCTTGCACCCCCAATCCTCTTTCCCAAGAAGGCTCCCTCCCTCCATCCCCCAAATCTTAAGAATTCAAGAATAACCGGTAGCCAAGAACTGAGCTCAAATCATTTGAGTTGGTGGAACTCTTGCCTAAATAAAGGTTACAGGATAGGCAGTAGGGGTGGTCTTTACATCTTTAACTTGAGGGCTGTTCTGATATGACTGGTTAGGTCTGATTCATTCAAGAGCCTAGTGTGGGGGGGGAAATAGGTTATTCACTTACTACATGCAACTAGGTGAAATGGAAGTCCAATACATTATAAGAAACCAAAGGTAGTTATTAAATATATTTTATCTTTAGATAGATTGTGTCTGTTACCTTGTTTTGAGAGGAACTTTCGAATGAAGGACAAATGAGAAGCAGACTATAAAGACTCAGTCTTTAAGGGCTTCCCACCTCATTCATGCAAATTGCTTTTTAATCCCGGTATCATTTTTTTTTTTTTTTTTTTTTTTTTTACACAGCATTGATTAATGTAAACCAAATAAAGGTTAGGAAGACACTTTCTACTCTCATTAACTTTGAGGAATGTTTGTGTTTTAAAGAATCAGTTAGTGTGGCAGTGGTACGCTAACTTCTCTGATGTTTTATTTGCCTTCTTAGCCTTCTCTCCTGCCCACAACAACAGCAAAATCCACAAGAGGTGCCCCAGTTTAATAGCTGTGCGCTCTTTAACACAGTGGTTGTGCTAGGCAGTTATTCAGTAGTCATATAATTAAGTCAAAATTGAAACCTGTATTCTACTATTTTTGTAGCTGTTCACATTTCTTTTTATTTTGTTCTGTAATAATTACTCTTACATATGTTGAAAAGCCAAATAAAGTGTTGCATAACTGATAGGGCAGGCAGAATTTATTCTACATAGAGATTTTTTTCCCCTTTTACTACTATCAAATCAAGAACCTGCTTAAACATTAATTTTCTCCTTTTTGAAATATGAAACTAGCACAGTATAGATTTTACTCATTCACATGCCACAGCATTTTTTCCAGTGACTCAGGATAAGGGTCAGCTATTTACACAAAACGCAGGAGTTTCCAGATTGTGTTGAAAGAACTTGCCCTTTCTTTTAGGTACTAGCGATGAGTCAGTGCTTTTATCTTGTAATGTATAAAGAATCTTTTACTAGCAGATTTGGCAATTGTTATTAACTTGTTTAATTTGGATGTGAGCTTTTCCATGGGTTCGCTTTGACTCTTTCTTCTAGTTGTGGTGGGTACCTGAACAAACCATATGCAATTTGTCTCTGTTCGGTGCTCAGTGGAGATTTCTGAACTCAGTTAACCCCTAGAGGCATGATACTGTTTATTTTACCAGCTTTTTCTTCTGTGGAATGTATGATTTCATAATGGATGTACTAGGATGCATTGCAGTTTATTATAAATTACAACTAAAAAAATATGATTCCTAGTTTCTGACTAGGGTTAATGTAATTTGGGGAGATTGGGGAAGGGGATGATGCACAGCATAAAAAAGGCACCTGGTACAAAAGAGACTCCAAGCCACTTTGTGATGACATAAAAATGGGATAGGGAATGTGAGGAGATGTTAGGTTATTTGCTATTCCAGAAACATAATTCGGGTTGCTTTTGCATTGCACATTAATATTGCCCTGAAAAATATTTGCCTTGTCCTCAGCTAAATCCTCTACCTTGGCATAAGCTGACAGACGAGTGGATGCCTAAAACAAATAAGCATTTGCCAGTTGCCTTTGTCTCCATCTCCCTGAACTGCAGGAGCTGCCGTGAGCACGCTGCAGCTCTCCAGAACAATGCTCTATCCTCAGGTGCCTTTAAAAATCTCAGTGGCAACTTTTATCCATCCATGCCTCTGGATGTTACAGATACTGATTCCTTGTGACTAACAGACAAGTTGCAGAAGTTGTTTTTAAAGTTATTTCCTCCTATGTTAACACTCCCTCTACGCCCCCGAAGACTAACGTGGCTTGAGGGAATCTGTTGATAGTACTCTGTATTTCTAGCATATACATTGATGGAAGTCAAATTCAAAAGAAGTTAGGTTTTCAAAATATAACAATATTTATTGAATGTTGCCAGTATATCTGTAGAATCCACTTTTATCTGGAGCATTTTCTGTTACTCCTGTTTATCCCTTTTTGTATAATGAAACTGGCAGTGTTTCACTGAGTATCTGAGCACTTGAAAGACTGCAAAATGTAGTGGCTGGCAAATCCAGTAACCCAGAAATATAAAGGTTGCAGCAAAGGAGTAATGTCTTTCCACAAGTCCTGTAAAGCTGGCTGTATAGCTTCAAGTGATGTAGCTCAGATTTTTCCTTTGGAGGGAGAGAAGCTGCATAAGTCTACTGTAGGTCTTGCACTCGCAGCTGTTTTTCCATAGTTTACTGGTCTTGCCTCTGCCATCAAATACTCATCAAATGGATAGTCTTTTTAAAGGGTTAAGGAAATAAAGATTCCTTTGAAATGTACCTGGAAATAAATAAATTTATCTATACACACGCATGCATTCTCTATTGTTAAAAATCTCAATTACAGGAAAACTAAGAATATCCTTACTTGGCTTTACTGTAACCTACAGAACATGCAACCCAGCTAGCACTGTGGTCTGAATGTTAGTTGTTTTGTATTCATGTACAAGAAGCTATGTTGTTATTGTTTTCATACTTTGGGGGCACAAGATAGCTCATTCAAGATAGTGGCTCTGCATGATCTCCAAATCTAGGAAACCTAACCTGCTGCTTCCTAGCAATGAAGTTGAGAGTGCTCTAACAAAATGCTCACATTGTTTTTATTTATTCTGCTGCTTTACAGCGTCAGCCAGCATTTGACACCTTTGATAGCTCAAACTCTCTCTTTGCTGGATATTTTTTCTCACTAAATGAAGACCAAACGCTTCAAGAAGTGCCAACAGGATTTGATTCTACTTCTTATGGTAACTCCTCACTCTCTTACTTAATTCAGTCAAAAAGAAATACAAGTGCAACATGGATTTCTCTAAAAAGTAGTGTTTTAGTACACAGACTGTTAGTCCATACTTGGTTTTATCCATGTGAGTTGCTCTGCTGATAGTTGCTGTTCTCTGTACTGAAAAGGAATAGGAACTGGGATTCAGTAGCCTAATAAACTGACAATCCATGGAAGAAGACTTAGTAGGTATTAAAGCAGAGCTAAGATAATTTATTTTTTAGTTTAAAAAAAATAATCTATTATGTGTATTTAAACTTACATTTTAATTATGGCTGAGATGTTGCAGGTATTCTGCAAGGTCTCTTCCTGACCCTCTGGTGTTAAATCCCAGAACACAAAATCTTTGTTCCCTTTCACTTCCCCACTGCCCCACCAGGGTTTGTTTTACTCTTTACCTTAAAAAACAAGGGGTTTGGGAGGTTTTTTTGTGTACATAGGACAGTACTTTAATTAAAGTCCTCTATAAATCCCTGCCTAAAATCCCTGACAAAACAGGGAGTTTTGTCTGAAATATCATTATTTTACCTGATTCTGCCTTTATTTCCCCTTAGGGAAGGGGAAACAAAGCCTCAAACCTCCGAAAACCACCAGTCCTTTGTTCCAATATTATTCTAATCAGTCACCTGCTCTGGCCAGGAAAGCAAGTTCTAGCAGATATTGAGGATGGGCGTGGTAAAAACAGAAGTTAAGCTCAGGCTGGTGATGAGCTCCACTTGCTGGGTCAAGTGGAGTCTGTAGATAGTCCAGGAAAATGGGAAGAGCTGTACCGCTTCATGAACTGACTTGAAGTTTGCCAAGTTCACCCCCCTTTATATATATATGTATATATATACACACCTTGCCACTGTGATATGCTTCTAACACAGCAGTGCTCCTTCAAATGCAACCTGTGTGCAAGTTCTTTGAGCCTCTCAAATGTTCAGGGATGCAGTAGCATGTTGGTTAAGTTTTCCTCAAATTACCTCTGGTTTAATGACACCAATCACAAGGAAAAAATATCAGTAAAAGGTTTCTTAATGTGAAATATCTAGGCAGTGTGGTTGGCTTTCTTCAACTTGGCAGTTCTTCTTTCAGAATAAAATGAGACATCTTCTGGTGAAAATTGCCCAATGAGAAAAGCTGAGTGACAGCCAAATTTAAAAATTAGTTAAGCAGATTAGTAATTTATACTGGCATAGGATGAAGTTGATTTTGTTGTGTTATTTGGGCACTGAGTACTAGCGTGTTACCAGTCACACTTGTTTGTTTCAGACTGTAAAATAATCTATCACACCATGTACTTGGGTGATTGAGATGCATGGGAAGGTCTGAAATACAGCCCACTGGAAAGCAGTGTTAAATAGTACAAGCTGGTTCTTCACAACCCTACTATCAGTTACTTAGCCCTCAAACTAAATGAAGACTGTCTGGAGTTATAAGGAAGTCTGAGGTCAAACTATTGGTGACAAAATAGGAATAGGCAGTCTCATATTTCCTTTTTTAAAAAAAAAAAAAAAAACAAACAAACCCCAAAACATCATATTAAAATTTCCCTGCAACAAAGGCAGTTTATGTAACTACTAAGAGTAAATGAGGCTTTATATCCTGGAAAGCTGCAAAGCTTCAATTTAGCATGATGCAATTTTATCAAACCAGTAGCACAGATTTTAGTGTTGATATATTAAGTCAAAGACTTAATCGCTCAAGTACAAGACTTAGTATATCAGAAAATGCATCTCAACTGTTAGTTTCTGCTTTTAAAATACTTGGTTTCTGTCATCCCTTTCTTATTTTTCAAATAGCGAAGCAAAAACCTGTGGTTCCTTTCACTGGCCTAAAAGTTAATGTATCTTCTTCCCCTCCACCCCTTTTCTTTCTTGTAGAGTCAAACAACTGTGAATTGCCTCTGTTAACCCCGTGCAGTAAGGCTGTGATGAGTCAGGCCTTGAAAGATACTTTCAGTGGTTTCACAAAGGAACAGTGTCGGCTGGGTATCCCAAATAGTAAGTGTTTTCTATTTATAAGCTCTTTTTTTTTTAATGCTAAGGAGGAGGCTGAATAGCGGCTCTTTCAAAAGAGAAAGAGTGATGTCAGTAGGAAATACAAGAATGAATCCTATGTGAATCTGGCACAGCTTGACTTGGAAAGATGAGGCTTGCTGGTGTTAAAAATGGGTGCATGGAGAGCTCATGCTTTGGCAGTGTGAGAGAGAATCAAGTAAGCTGAGGACATCTCTGATTATAAGTGAATACAGAAGGAAAATAGAGGACTGGTTTTTGTTGTCTTTCTCTAAATTCAAGAATAAATTCATTCTGAATTCATTCATAACTAAGTAACTTGGGTTAACCCATTTTTTTTTCATTCCCTGCCTTCTAATGAAGATTATTTTACCAAGGTCAGGAGTTAATGGCCAAACACTGGATACTTTCTGTCTTGCAGATCCCTGGCTGTGGACTGAACAGCAAGTTTGCCAGTGGCTTTCATGGGCTACCAATGAGTTTAGCTTGGCAAATGTGAACTTCCATCAGTTTCTGATGAGTGGCCAAGACTTGTGCAACCTGGGCAAGGAGCGTTTCCTGGAACTGGCACCAGACTATGTGGGTGATATTCTGTGGGAACACCTGGAACAGATGATAAAAGGTAGTTACAGAGACAGAAAGAGCTTTTGTTTTAAGGCTTCTTCCAACAGAAACAAAAATGGGACTCTTTCAACACTTGTTTCATTATGAAGGGCTTTTATTAGATATGAAAACTCAAAATGAACTTTAAAACTTGGTTAATAAAAGCATTATCAGAACTATTAATACATCCTTTGTACATAAAGCACAGATGCAGATATCTGCAGAAATCATTCTGTGTTCAGGCTGAATACTTACTGCAGTCAGCTTTTAGTTGGAATAATCATTGAAAGAAATGAGATTAGGATAAGGCTACTGTAATACCCTATTTAAAAAAAAATACTAAGAGTTGGATAAGATTTGTTTGCTTCTTATCACAATTTTTTGGTTTTGTTCCTTTAATGTAGTGTTTTCAGGTAATTCGGTGAATGAATGTAGTCAAAGACACCTAGAGGTATCTTAAGTGAACACTGATGGTGTTGCTAAAACCCTGTGAGTTCCATTAGGTTTGGAACATAACATTCTGTAGTTGCACACGTTAAAGACTTGGACCTTAAAACACACTGCAGTTATTGTTGTTTCTAAGTTTTATGTTAAAATTAGATTGATATGATGGTTTTCAAGCCTTTTGGAAGTTGGTTGGGGGTTTTGGTGTGTCTTTTATTAAAAAAGAGAGTGTATTGAAGTGCTTTAGTAAAATTAATGTGAATGATCACTCCAAAACACTCAAGAGACTTAGAAACATTTCATGGCATACTAGTCAGATCTTTAAGACAAAATTTTCTTCTTTTTTCCTCCTCTCCCCAGACAGCCAAGAGAAAACGCAGGATCAGTACGTGGAGAACTCTCATCTCACCTCAGTTCCTCACTGGGTCAATAATAATTCCTTAAGTAAGTATTTTAAGAAATTTGACATTTTACATGTCTTGCATTTATTCTAATCATGTCATGGATCCCAAGATCGGTTTTTTGAGGGTTTGTTTTTGTTTGTTTTTTGTTTTTTGATTTTTGTTTTTTTTTTAAAAAAAGCGCCAGAAGAGTTACTGTGCTTGAGGAGAACACTTGACTTCAATTACTACAGTCTTCTTTCCTAGTATTGTTTAATTGTCATCTAATTCATATAGGAAATGTTTTGAAGGGCAAAGGCTTTGAGAAAATAAAATTTCCTCTTGTTATGGCAAAGCCTACAGCTGTGGAGCAGCAAACCAGGTAAAAAACTAGCATCATTGGGGAGCAGCAGGAGTTATATTCAGGCCTTTTTGAAGACTGTGGAAGCATAATAGAGTTTTTGAAAGTGTATAGGACTCAGTGCTAGCTTTCTTAGATTGTTTGATTGGTGTTTGTGTTTCATTCCACCACAGTCAATCTCCAGCTCAACCTTATTACCTCACTTAATGATGAGGGCCTTACTCAAAACCACTTAAGCTTTTCCAGCTTTTTCTGTAGCCTTGTAGCTTCCTTGAGGAGCAAATAATAAACATATTTGTGGTTGACAAGTTATAGAGGGAGATCTACAGCATCTAATTTGGAGCCCATTAGATGGGGATCTCCACACTGACTTCAGTAGCCTTTCCAATAGGTCTGTAGCATCTCTCTCTCTTTCTTAGATTTTCATAGGAAAATTATTTCTTGATGGCACAACTCTAGTGAGGTGCCAGAGGTGTGTATTAGTCTAAGGGACTGCAGAGAAAAACATCTAATTTATTCTTTTATTTCTTTCTTCAGCTGTTAATGCAGATCAAAACTCCTATGGTATGCCAATGCCTGGATACCCTAAAGCCCTCAGTTATCCCAAACCCAATCTCCTGACTGACCTCTGTCAGACTTCTACAGGACCAAATCTCCTCAATCCAGAACAAGAGTTTTCATTGTTCCCTAAAACCCAAGCAGATGCTGTTGGTGTGAACTACTGTGCTGTAAACCAAGATTTCCCAAGAAGCAGTCTGAACTTGCTGATAGATAACTCTGGTGAGTCATTACCCGCATGATAACCATGGGTCCAAGGCTGTGTTCTGTATGTCTTTTCCTCCTTTGCGTAATTTATATTTATAACCTAGATTGAGTAGGAGAAAAAAAACCTGCCAACACTTCTCTCTCTCCTTTTTTTTTTTTTTTTGGCTTATGAAGGTAAGCTTAGAGAACATGAATCTAGTGACAGTGGCGCAGAAAGTTACGAAAGCTCAGATTCGATGCTACAGTCCTGGAACAGCCAGTCGTCGTTAGTGGATTTGCAGCGTGTGCCATCCTATGAGAGTTTTGAAGATGACTGTAGCCAGTCCTTGTGTCTGAGCAAACCTACAATGTCTTTCAAAGACTATATTCAAGAAAGAAGTGATCCTGTAGAGCAAGGGAAACCAGTTATACCAGCGGCAATTCTAGCTGGCTTTACTGGTAAGTAGTGAAGCAAAATGGTCACTCCTCTTTTTATGTAACATCAATATTCTCTATAAATGTGTCCTGTGGTGATGAAGTGGTCAGAGGCCACTACTCATGAAGAGTTACAATTTTGAACGTTACTAAAGAAATCTCACAGGACTATCCATCTAAAGCGAGAACGGGCAGGTACATCAGAACACATAAAAATCAAATGTGCTTTTTTATCTGTTTGAAAAGGAGGGAAACTTGGACAAAAGTCTCCACACTTAGGAGTTTCTGCAGGTGTTGGCTTGCCTGTAAAGACCTCCTTCCTGTAGTCTGTTTTTCCTCTAGAACATTTGCCAAGCCGGGGACTGCAGGACAGGCTTGAAATGCAGCTGATGGGAGGTGGGAGTGACGGGTAAGGAGTCAATATAAAAGGGAAAGACATAGCTCGTGTCAAATCCTGTGTTTCCATGAAAAAGCTGGCTTGTTTTAATTCTAACATGTTTATGAGCAACTTGTGTTACAGAGAAAAATCTTAAGTTTCTTTCTGATATTAAAAAAAAAAATGAAGTAACTACAAGACTTGAGTCTCCTTCTCTGGAGACATTCAAGACCTGCCTGGATGCCTTCCGGTGTAATCTGTTTTAGGTGTTCCTGCTCCGGCAGGGGGATTGGACTAGATGATCTTTTGACGTCCCTTCCAATCCCTAATATTCTGTGATTCTGTGACTTATCCTGTGATACAAGAATGGTCACATACATTGGTTGTGGTAAGAGCTTGCAGAAGTATTAATTGTGGTTTCTGCCCACTCCCTCTCTTAACAGGCAGTGGACCTATACAGCTATGGCAATTCCTTCTGGAGTTACTGACTGACAAGTCCTGTCAGTCATTCATTAGTTGGACTGGAGATGGATGGGAATTTAAACTTGCTGACCCAGACGAGGTATGTGGCTAATTGTGATGAACAAAAAGATTTAGGATCTGATCTGCCATCTGTGGGCCTAGTCTTGAATATAAAGCATTTACAAGATCATACAGTTACTGAAATCTCTTGATCTGCAAATGCTTTACTATGCAGTCAGGATTGCTGTGGAATGTTTCCCCTCCTTCTCCTCCCACCCATGGCTATCAGCATTTGCTTGTGGTTAGGAGAACACGTTGTATAGCTTAAAACTTAAACGTAGTATACAAAGTTAGTTCTCTTGACAATGTAATACTGTAATTAGCTTACTAAATGTAGTTGAGTCAACAATGCCTTTGATTGCATGAAGGCATGGGGAAAATATAGTCCACATATCACTGTTCTTTTAGATACACAGCAAATATAGTGGTGCTGCTTTTAAAATATTTTGTTGACTTAAAGCTTTAGTCATTAAAAATAAATAGAATGCGTTTTCATTTTCTGATACCATTATTAGTAGGAAAGTTATTGTATGAAGTGACTGTAAAGTCCACCGAAGCCTTTATTAAAAAAAGAAAAAGGGAGAGGAGCAGAAATCATTAACTCCAAGGAACTTTAAATTCAACTTCCATTTAAAGAGCTGTCCCGTACTGCTCAATAGCAAATTACTGCTTAAATGGTCTCTTCTTGAGAGAGGAGACTATATTTGCCATAACAGTTATCTCCTTAAACACATTTTGGCCCATTCACTACAAATAGGTATCTTTTTCACTGGTATTTGCTATCAGCCACCTTCTCCTGAAGATGCTGCTGCTAATTGTTGTAGAACAGGTTCAGCTGAGGGGTCAGTCACCAACTCTTCTCTTACCTGAGTCTGGGACATCCAAAGCAAATAAAATGCTGTGGCTGGGAAAGGGTTTTAATAACTGCATTTATCAGCTACTGACTAGAAGAACATGACTTCAATAAACCCTCCACATTTTGCTTTCTTTTTGGACTGACAGGTGGCACGGAGGTGGGGAAGGAGGAAAAACAAGCCAAAAATGAACTATGAGAAGCTCAGCCGAGGCCTACGCTACTATTATGACAAGAACATCATCCACAAGACTTCAGGGAAACGCTACGTGTATCGCTTTGTGTGTGACCTGCAGAACTTGCTGGGGTACACAGCAGAGGAGCTGCACGCGATGCTGGGGGTGCAGCCCGACACAGAGGACTGAGCCCGAGGATGCGATGCTGCAGGGGTGAAGATCATGTGTTGGGACTGTGTCTGGGAACCGTCTACAGTCAGTTCTGGCTGTTCAGATGGGTGCAAATGTTGGGAAATAAGGACCTTAACCGATTTTGTAACCAGAAGAGCTGGAAGGAAGTGGCCTTATTTCATCAGTGGCTTCGAGTGTTGCCATGTCAGGCACTTGAGCAGCGTGGAAGTCAGCACAGACCCTAGCTCTGTTGTGAAGACATGGAAATGCTCTCGGGTTAAGCATTTCGACTACCTGTACTGCCGTATAAAGCGTTTTGGCTACTTACACTGCCGTATAATCATGGGTTGGCTTTAAAACCAAAGGTTGGATGAGGAACCAGTGATGCAGCAGAATTATTGCTTAGATATTTTGAAATACCATCGTCCTTGCTTACATCTTTTATCATGCAATTTATTTAAAAAAAAACCCAAACAAAATAATTTATTTTAAATGACCAGTAAGGAGAATCCATACTAGTTTTGTTCTAAAGCATGTTTTATTATTACTACTCCAGAAGATGTGCTGCATAGGTACATAAACACTCTGTGTTCAAAACCAGATGTAGCAACCGTTAAAGAAAAAAAAAAGACCCTTTAAAGAAGGAAAGGAAAAACATACCATTTCAATATTCAGTTTGTATATATTCTGTGATTCTTTTTGAAACTGTAATGTTCCTATTTAACAGATATTGTATAGTGTAAATTAAACTAATTGTATGTGTGTTTTTAAATAGGACAAATGTAAATTTATCAAATGTGGGGGGTTTTTTTATGGTTGTCTAGGATCAACAACCTTCTGCAAATATTTTAATTGGCCTGAGAGACAACATAAGTGCTCAGGATGGATGCATATGGTATGCCTATGATATGAAAGGGGGGGGTGTGGGGAGGGAAGGCTGACTTAGTATTTTGCCAAGACTGAAGCTGGCAATTCTTTGTGCATTTTGGCATTTTTACAAGAAACTAATGTCATATTCTGGGACGTAAAGGGCCTGTTTGTGGTTTCTTCTGTAACTGAAAATGAAAATATTAATATGGATAAAATTACCTTTTTTCCTTTATAAATGGCATATGTTTTTCAACTTCTATGCATGTCCTTTTAAAAAAAATAATTGTATACAAGCCTTATTTTTTCAGTTGACTTGTCTCTTCTTCCTGCAGTTTATCCTGTATGATTAAAATATGAATTCTATTTTTGGAAATAACTGTGACTCCTTTTCAAAGATCAGGAGGGATCTATGTAGCAGCTATTTTTACTGCAAAAAAAAAAAAAAAAAAGGAGAAAAAAGAAAAAATTTCACTGGAAAAATGTACTTTGTAAAAAAAGCTTTATTTTTTATCTGAGCTTGATGTACATTTAAGTGTGGTGTACAATGTGGGAGGTTTAAAAATATGAGTCTTTATTAAAACCTCTTGAACAAGAAAATAGCACGTGTGCTTTTTAATTTGGAAAGTTTTGGAAGAGTTCCTTTTTGTGTATTTGTTGCTTCAACCCTTGTCTGTTTTCCCACCTACCCTAAACCAGGATAAAAAAACAAGATCCAAACAACAACAAAAACCAAAATAAAACGAAAAACCCCACCCAGACACACTTAAAGGGCTATAAAGAGTGCATAGGCTGATGGTTTTGAACCAAGCTAAATGTATGCAAATACTCTGTTTAGATATAAATTAAAGTTAATGCCTCTAAGAGAAAACTAGCAATTCTGTACTGTGCTGTGAATCACTGTGTGACCTGATTAGATGGAAGAACAGAAGCACGTTAAGACTACTTATGCTTAAACTGTTTCTGATCCTGTCTTGTACAAAGGAAGCCTATTGTCCTAACTGTCTTTATTACTCTTCTCCATCCCTCTGCCTTGCAGAAAAGCAGGAAATAAGAAAACATTTCTTCTTAAGCATATATTTAAAAAGTAGTAAATGTAGTTATTTAAAAAAAAAAAAAAAATGGTGCTTCCCCTAGGCTTCTTGGTCTTCCTTTCTACCAGACTGTGGCCATGTCTTGATCTTGTGTTCATTGCAGTCACCCAGGTTTAGCAGCATGTTAAAAAGTTGGAGAACAAGGGTGGGGTTCTTTTGAGCATGTGCCTTTCTAAATGGATGGAGCTGAAGGGGTGGGCCTGTGTCTTGCATCATGGCCCTGGTCTCCTCTGAACATTTGCAGACTCTGTCCTTCAGTCTTTTCATAGTACTCCTGAAGGAAAATAAGCCTTCTACATCCTTCCTCCCTTCATGTCAGCCACTGCTGCAGGCCTAGATGCATTTCAGTGGGTGCTGGCCTACAGGCTGGTCTCATGCTAGTGATGAAGAGGCCATAAGGGCATAAAGAAGCCTCAGTCCCCTGGGCTCAGACAGAACTTGCCAGAAAGAGAAAAAAAACCCCACAAAACCAAAAGGCTTTCCTGAGCTTTGGGTAACAGTCCTAAAGAAGTAGTGCTACATTTTACTAACATAAATGACCTGCCTTTGAACTGTGATCCTAACAAGGGGAGATACCTTATTTTGCAGGAAATAATTCATTAGCACATGATGAATGTGTTTTTTCCCCTGGGTGCCTTTCTCATGCCATGACTGCAGAGCCCTAATCATCCTCTCAATCTGTACAAGTTTAATTTTCAATCTGTTTTCCCTGAACACAGAACTGACTCTTCATTTAAACTGAAAGCTTAGTTGCTTCTTGTGTGCGTGATCAGTGTTGGCTTCAACCCAGAGGCTAAAGGGAAGTTGGTTGTTTTCCTCCCTCAGCAGAAAAAGGAATTTCATGATAGCAGAAGCAGCAAAGAATCCCAATACATGCAACCCACACTAGTGCATCTTCTAGAAGCAAAACCTTCTTTCTGGCACTGGGTTGGGTCAATGCAGCAGTACAAGCTGTAACCCAGTGTGACCTAGAAGACAATTATTGAAGGATATTTTATCGCAGCACACACAGAAAAACACCACTCTTTTCTCAGCCACCCAGTGTCAAAGAGGCTGTTGAAAGAAGTCTGGTTAAATTCTTCACCTTTTTCAGGACATGCCTCCCTGCCCTTCTAGCTGCCAGTTTTCCTCATGAGACAGCAGTCAAAATAAAGTCTTGCACTTGGCACCTACCTGTGGTTGGCATGTCACCTCTAATAACAAAGTTTGACTTCAAAGCCTTCTTTGCTCTTTTTTTTAAAAAAAAAAAACCAAAAAACAAAAAAACTTCAAAATAAGGTAGAATCCCATCCTAATTAAAACAACACCTCTGGGTTGGGAAATCTGTGAGCCACAAACACTTGATGTCCAGAAGGCTATTTTGGGAAAACATCTGTCTACTGCACCCTATTCTTACACTTGCTTTAGGTCTTAGCTGTAGGCCACCATCAGGTAGAGGGTAGGAGCATGGGAAATGGGGCAGATGATGGATCATTTAGCCAGTAATGTATCTCCAACAGTGGGAGAAGGATCAAGTAAACCCGGCCAGTCTGTGCTGGTCTGTTTTCCATTAAATCCCCCAGCACCCCTCACAGTGTTGCTGCCTTTTGGAGGGGACACACTGCCTGTTTCTTTTACGGTTGACTTAAGGATTTCTTGCCTTGCCTGACTTGTAAGGAAGCCCCCTGGCCACTCTCTACTGACTTGTCCTCAAGCATTGAAGACCAGAATCTCACCCAGGAACTGAGGTAAGAGTACACCAAGGTTTTGGTCAGCAGCAAAACAAAGCTGTCTTTTCAGTACCCTTCCTCATGGTACCTTACACGTTTTTGGCTTTTTTGGCAGTCACTACACATTGAGCTGGTGATTTCAGAGAGCTGTCAGTGATGATTCTGAGATACATTGGGTGTATTACCTTACATTAGTCTCTGCTGATACTTACCTGGCACCTTTTTGTCCACTCACACTGTGTTGTGAGATCCTCCTGGAGTTCCTTGCCAGCACTGTGACATTTGACTACTCAAACTATTTAGCATCATCTGAAAACCTGGAGGTTTCACTCATTAGCCCGGGATTTCTAGCACTGATCAGAGACAAGGTGGCTGTTCTTATGCTAAGGATCAAGAGGGCTGCTGCAGGTTTCAGCCCATCTGTTTCCAGTTCCTGGTTCTTCCACAGACTTCTGGGAGGCCTCAGGTAAAACACTTCAAGACAGACTCTCTGACAGGGCAGCTGCTATTCTAGTATTAAAGTCATTCACTCGCCCTTGTGCATGGGACTAGAAGCGCCAAGGTGGTGTTCTGCTGAATCTCTTTTGGGCTTTCCCTCTCGACGAGCAGGTTGTGGGCCAGCACTCTTGTGATGCAGGACCACATCTGGCAATGAACAAGACCAACAGCAGCTTGTACAATATGGAAACACAGCATCTGGCCCTCAAGAGGGTTCAGTAAATCGCTCTGAAACTACAGTACTCTATAAATGGCAACCAGATACTGGAACTTCTTGTGTTCTTGCTAAAAAATCCTCCTGGAATTGAAAAAGAAACAAGAACTGAAAACCAATTTACATGTTCACAGCACTAGTGGAAAGGCTTTTTGATGCCCTCTCCAAGCGTGGTCCAAATTTTGGCAAAGAATGGCCAGATCTCAGCCATCACAGTTTATCTTGCATCTTATGTTTCTCTTTTTATCTGCATGAAGCGGAGCACTTGTTGAAGCATGTGTGTTCACACAACCATGTGACTGCAGCAGTGCTTCACATGCTAGACACGTGAAGGCTCAAAACACTAAAGAGGGAATAAAAGGCAAATAAGCAAGAAGAAAGATAAATTCAGCCCAGGGTGCATGATCTTTGAGAAAGATATCTAGTATCTCATTTGTAATATGTGCCATGAGATGCACAGTCTGGAACCACAAAACATGGAAAGTCTTTAAGAATAAATAAAATAGGTTGGTGAGTGACAGCATAATTTGCTCTGTGAAAACTGAGATTTTTCAAGTGATAGGTCTTGTTTATGAATAGACGAGTTTTAAGATAATTCTCTGGTTTGGGGAAGGAGCATCAGATCCTGCCATTTTTCTTCCTTCTGCCTCTACCTCTCTTGGCATTTACAATATAAATGGTGAGCTTTACAAAATCTAGTAAGTAGCAAGTATAACAAGTATAATGAAAGCTCTGCATGTGTGTGCACATGTATATTCTTTGGGAGATATTTTTACAAGATGCTCTTTAGATAGCTAGCAAAACGACTTTAACTCATATAAAAGGTTTGCCATGATTTTCTGCATCGTGACCTAAAA